ATCCATCATTTTCTTGAATATCTCCAATGAATGAGAGCCCACAACTCTCCTAGACAGTCCATCCCACTGCCTCACTGATGCCCTTTCACTGATGAGCTGATTATCCCAAGGGAAGTCTCCAAACATCATCTCACTCAAGCAGCTCAGTCCAAGGTAGCAATGGGGTCACGATTGCCCCTCTGAAGCGAGTCAATAGGCCCCTCTCTCAGCTCAAGATGTAGGTGAAGAGTAAGACAGAAGTGAATCCTTTTGATGACTGACCCAGGTAAATTCAAAGCTCAGAAGATCCTGCCATGCCAACCCGTTTGCATCCTTTGCCTTTGATTCCTGGGTTGCAGTCACACACCTTGAAATCCTCTATGAACCTTGGCCTGTGTTTGGGCTGATATGCCGCTCCGGGGAGAACATAGCATCCTGCCCCATTGAGCACTCACCAGCCCATCACCACAGACCCACACGAGGTCACCTGGTGAGGCCAGGGCTGCAACACGGCTGGCTACCTTTTGACTTGTGCAAGGAGGGTTTCTAGCACTAGTCCTACGATCTCAGTGTATTGCCTTTGAACAGACAGTTCAAGGCAGTGTCCAAGGTCCAGGCCTTGGGCACGGAGAGAACAGCGGTTGGAGGTTGTCAGCAAGGACATGCTGGGGTGGGATGGGGGGAATGGTCTGAAGGGCAGGCTGGTTGCCACTGAGCAGAGTGTAATCCCTCCCTCCGTTATTCCCCGTTCATGGCTTTGCAAGGCAGCGTGGTAAGGGAAGCCCGCTTGGATGTGCTTGTTGGTGATGCATGAGCTGGAGTGAAGTCCCGTTGTTAGTGTGATTGTTGTCATCAGAGCAAGATGATGAAGCTCTCGCATACACGGGGGCGGGGGGGAGGGGGACCACTCGGGCAGCCCCTTGGAAATGCTCCCGGTCACTCTGGCTGTGCATTGCACTTCCCGCTAGGAATACTGCACCAGACTGCGTGGCAACAGGGCATCAGAGCGGGGGGACTGACCGCCTGCATGGGAAAGGACCTCTGCAAAATGGATCCATACTGCAGAGTGTTGGAGAGGAATGACTGAGGTCACTTCCCTGTGACCTGCCACCTGATGCAGGGGGGACGGTATCTGAAACAACCTCTGTCTCTTCCTAGAAAATATTTCCTAGCTCAATCACCAGAACGGGGCTGGATGCAGAAAGCTCCCTGGCCTGAGTAATGCCGCCACTCGGATACTACAGCCCTGGGGGCCCTGAACTCCCCGCAGTGATCTGGTTTCACTCCTGTCCAGTCAGCAGTGGTTCTCCACCCTTGTCCCTCCCAAATATCAGCATGTTCTCGCAGGGCGAAGACGAGCTGAATTTCTAACATTCAAAAAACCCATCCTGGACACGTAAGAGGGAAGGAATCTGCCCTTTAAAATCAATCAATCAGTCAATCCCCGTGGCTTTTTGACATGAGAAATTCAGAGTTGTGCGGCCCATGGCCCTTCGAGCCAGCTCTCCGAGGCGGTGTGGGCAGGGCCTTGAAGGTCTCATTGCAGACTCTGCAGAAGGCATTTCCACCACGGTTACCACTGCAGAGGAAGAGTGCTGTGTTGTTTCTTTCCAGTTGTTTCCCACATCTGTCATGTCTCTGGGTGCTGGTGCCTGGTTCCAGGTCTGGCTGGGGGGTTTGCCAGTGGGCCCCAGAAAAGCCCCTTACAATGGGAAACGTTGTTTCCTCCAGCAATGCCAGGGAGTCTTCCACTGTCTCTGGAAAGTCTCAGGGCTGGGCAGGACTGTCTGGGGATCAGAAAGCCTTTGCACCCCCATTGGTGGATCCCAGCTTGTTCCTTTGCAGGGCTAGTGCACAGGCTGCCTCAGTTTCCCCAGTGGAGGGGGTCAGAGCATGAGCAGCCCCAGCAGGTTTTCCTCTTATGGTCACTGCCAGGGCAGTCCTAGGGGAGTGAGGCTGGTAAAGCAGTGATAGGGAAGTGGCCTCTCTCCTGTCTCCTCATCTCCCATATCCCCACAACCTACTCTCCCGGGGTTTTCATGCAGATGCTGATGGGGAACCTGGATGGCAGAAGACATTAGATTTCCCTTAAATCCTTGCTAACTTGTAAACTGGTTACCAGTGCCCAGGACCAAGTGCTATTTGTTGATGGCTCCCCCTCCTCCTTTTATTTC